GCAAGACCGCGGTAAAGCAATCGCGAGGCTCGTGATGACAACAGACAGGTTTCAGAGTATTATTATGAAATAAATTAAAATAATTTTTACACTTGAATTCTGCCCTTTGTATTTATTGAGTTTTTGAGTGATTTACGTTCGACTTTGTGCAACACGAAAGTTCTCCTCAGCCACATTTTGCAATATTCACCTTCTGCTTTGGATTAATTGGTTCATAATAATAAATGGTAGTCAATACTAAAGTAATCGATGCGAAACTCCATCAATTGTTCGATCTAGTATTCAACAGAGAAATGTTTGATTTATAACGTTTAAATTCCGGGAATTACTTTTTGTTAACGAACCTACTGGCATTGGAAAAATTATATAATAACGCATCTTGCAGACTATTTAAAATCAAGGTGATATTTGACCTTATAACCCGGAATTTAATCGTTCTACACATCGACTAAATTTTCTCCACTACGGTTGGAAACCTAGCGGCTGAATTTCCTGCATATCCAGATAAAGGTATACGGGACTTATTTGTAATGATTGCTGGCTGATCGGATTAACAGTATTGATTCTTTTTGTTCCCTTCTAACAGTCATCTTTGAGGATATAGAGCTTCCTTTCCTGTTGATGAAGCGTATCAGGCTGTATTGATTACGCATCTATCATAAGCAAAGATGTCAAAATTCTACTAATAACAGCATAGTTGCAATTTATCAAAATAAATAGTGTTTATTCAATTACATAACATTTGAATAGATCGGAACTTCGAGGACAGATATCTCAACTCGCTTGTCAGAACCATGTTCCAGGTACAGTGCTATTTGCGGCGGGCTATATTTTTATACTGTTAATCTAACGTTTGCGTCAACTAGGACGGGATTTATCTCGACTTGCCAACACTCGCACAGAGACGCAAATATTGAAAACATTGACTAATGGCCTTAAGACAGTTCCCAATATTAACTTGGACGACATCTCTCACAAATGCCACGGCTACCTTGTTGCTGACTTGGCAGCACTTTGTCGTATAGCTATTGAGCGCGCTAATATTAAAAGCATCGATGAAACAGATACAAGACTGTATAATCAATCAATACCAAACACTGTTGATTTTTTTTGTAACAACTTACATGTCGTTATAAGGGAAACCAAACGCATATCTTATAACTTACGAAGACTTTGCTGAAAGTATAAAAGATATTAAGATCTGCGCGTTAACGTTATCAAATAATATGAATGCAAGAAAATATAACAATTCACCTTTGACGATAGAAGAACTTGAAAAGTCGGTCATTCTTCTCCAATCTTCCCGATATTCGTCGAGGGACATTCAAGGAGTATAATTGCTCAAGTGCTCTCTTGACTGTTGAGGTACCAGAAAAAGCTCCCGAGTAACGAAAAAAGAAATTGAACAAGCAATGTGACGATACAAAGTAGAAGCTCATGACATACGCATATTCCTCGCTGAGATAATAACATCATCGACACCGAATGCCTTTAGCAATAGAATGACAGATGCCAGATTGCGATGTTTAATTCCCGGTGTTCTAACTCGCCTTTCTCTGCATACGACCGATAGCATGAACCTGGACCCTAAAGAATAATGCGCTTAGCTCATTGATTCTCTTTCATCACGACTGGCAAATTATCATAGTGTATTGCTCACTCCGGCCTATTCATTGTTTTGCCAAATTTTTGATATACTTTCTATTGACAAAGACTCCAAGCCTATCTTGGAATTGCCTCGGCAATAAAGCTTGCATTGTGTTTTCAAGGATACGGCTAACTTTTTTTGTTAGCATCTGAATTTTCGCATTAAACTCATGTACTTCCGCTCATTCTGGGCTCTTTTCCCCATCCCAAACAAGATGTCAGTTTGCATAACACGTTCATGAGCCTCATCAAGTATGACAACAGCGTACTTTATTAACAATAAATCCGATAACTCACGCAGAAGCATGCCATCTGTTACGTATTTTATTGAGAAGTGCGGTTGCCGAATCGGACGTTATAACGACCTGCGAAAAGATTCATTATAAAGAAGAACAATATATGACGCCAACGGGTACGCCAGAGTCCAAAAAAACACACCTAAGAAGGCTCATTGCCGCCACTCTTCCAATGGAAAATGAGGATTTTTAATAACCCATAATAATTATGTATTGCACCGAGTAAGAATTACTTTTAATGATCTGGGCTGCTCTAATTGCCGTAAAATTAATACTGCACGTCATAAGTGATGTATAATTTGCGGATTTACGCGGCTTGAACGTTTAAACAATCCTTAAAAATTAATCCCACATGTTAGTTGCACAAATCTACATTTAGTTGAAAGCGCAACAAGTTACTATCAAAATTGTCCAAATATTTGTTCAAATCAATCGCCAGCAGACTACAAAATAGATTCATGTAAATATTGTTTTAATCGACTAAAACTGCTGTTAGTAAATTGACAAAAAAAAAAAAATAATATGTGGCTAAAGTTTTTAGTAGCCTTTTTGCGCTTTCAAATGAATTTCGATGACACAAAAACTGTATATAATTTGTTACAGTATATTATAATTATGCTAACACACTATAACCATAATTTGTGCAATAGATGCGCTTGTTAAATACATGGCATGGTAATTGCATTACTATTACGTGTTATTTTATTAGAGGACTGTAGTGGTGTGTAATATGGAGTGGCGTAATATAACAATGACAAATGATCACATGCTGTAGAAACATTTAGAAGAATTTTTATTTTTGGAGGCCATAAGAATAACAGGTCCGAAGTATATGCAGTAAAACATTTTCACTGGTTAATGACAATGGCCACATGTTGTAGAAACATTTACAAGAATGTTTATTTAGGGAGCAATAAAAAATTTCACTGTCCGATGAGCCACGCGTTTGATATTAATTATCTATGAATGGTGATATTAATAGCAGTAGTATAAAAAGCAGTAGAACCATTTCGAAGAATTGGAGATGTGTTTATTGATGAAGATCGTACAATTACGATAAGCCACGCGTATGAAACTGATATGATATTGATAACAATACAAACGTAAACAACAGAAACATTTAGAAGGATTGTCTATTTTTAGATAGTAACAAGTCCGGCGTATATACAGTAAAAATGTTTCACCGAATATTATTAATTACATCATACGTGGCTTGTCGGACTCGCTAATCAGTAAAAAATTTTATTATTTACCGGAAACAATCGTCATGATGTCATGGTGTCATGGTGTTACACTAGACAATATATCATTCTCACGCTTCTTGTTACGTATACTGACGATATATAAAACGCGCTGTTCTCCTTCACTTACCGCACATACGACCCACCTGTTCTCCTTCACTTACCGCACATGCGAGCTACCTGTTGTCCTTCACTTACCGCACATGCGACCTACCTGTTCTCCTTCACTTACCGCACATACGACCTACCTGTTCCATATTACGCGCTCTCTACCCTACCTACGCGCACTCTCTACCCTACCTACGCGCACTCTCACTCTCTCACACATTGCGCTGAAGACCAAAAGGTTAATTTCTTATACAGATTCATTGTTAAACCTGTTTGATATGTCTATTGATATCTTTACCTTCTTTTAGGTCTTCATAATACTTCAAAATGTCGATTGCCAGTACCCATTTGGGGAACCTTTTTGAAGCGTTTATCGCTTTCCTGCTTGAGCAAGCAGGCTTTGTGGTCGTCTGCATAGGGTAAGAAAGTTTTGTCTTACAACGTCTTGTTGTTATATTGGTTTTACTTATTTTATTTGTTCTTTTTAGTGGCAGGGGCGATGGGGGCATCGATATTCTCGCAGAATTTGGAAACACCAGATTCTGCAAAGCGCACGCGGGGAATATCGGTAAGTTTGTTTTTATTATTACTTATTACTATGATAGAGATTGAAAGACATAAAACTAAGCTTATTTTCTTTTTTTACAGGTGCCCTCGTGGTGCGGGAGCTCCTCGGTTCAATGATGCTGCACTACAATAATGGGGAGATTGGCGTCATTGTTGCTTTGGAGGGATTTACTAGAGGAGCTTGGGAAGTAGTTCGAATAGCTTCCCTAGAAATATATCTCGAAACTCCTAGCTCAATCGTCGCCAATTTGAAGCGGGTTGCAGCGGAGAACGACGTAGTCTTGGCGAGAATGGCAAGGATGGCCCGCACCGCACAGGATAAGGAAGAGGTGGCCAGGTGGGAGGAGAGGTTGGCTGAGATGAGGATGGCGGTGCTTATGAGGGAGGAGATTGAGTTTCTAAGAAGGATGGAAAGACCGCCCGAATGAGATTCATGGGTTTATTCAAAATGATGACTCGTTTTCATGTAAGGATCTATATAGGTCGGAGGCGGCTGTGCGTCGGGTCATGTTTTGTGCTATTGGGCTTTTGTTGGTACTTTGGGGAAAGTGATATACGTTTAATAAATATAAGTTACACCGTCTCTTATATTTCACCACCACTATCTCTCATACCTTGTCATTACGTCATTTGTTGACTCTCAAGTAAAGTCTAGCTCCACCTTGCTTCGAAAATAGATAGACCTTTTTAATAATAGTACACTTCCCCTTCTATTATATCAATCTTTGTTGATGACACCCGAATATGTACCCTTGATTAAAAATGAAGAAATAAAATACTCGTTCAATATTTTATGAATTAGATACAGTCAACTGCCGATAATTCGACTACTTGCGTTCAAGCGTCATTGGCGGATTAACATAAAGGCCGAATTAACACAAATTTTAGTTACGAAGTAAATAGTAAAGTTTATTTATATCGATATGCATTCGTCTCTGATAGGTAATTTGGCGAATTTACAGAATTATTATAATGAGAAATCGATTAGAATCAAACCAGAAGATTTATATAATCATCACAATCATACTTCTTTATTAAAAAGTAAAAGCATTTTTCAATTACATTACATGTAGAATTGTATGTACATTATATGTTTTCATTCGTTTAATCCATGACATTTTACTAGACAAAGATGAATCAATTAAGAATTGTCCATATCTTTAACAACTCCTACTTGTGCCGGCCTAATTATTCTCCCATTCAAAGTGTATCCAACCTTCTCAACCGTAAAAACAGTCCCCGCTTCTTTATCCGGCACTGCAGTTTGGAATATCGCTTCATGCTTATTGGGGTCAAATTTATCTCCCAGAGGATTCATCTGTTCTACTCCAAATCTTTTTAGCGTGTTCAAAAGTTCTGCTTCAGTCATTGATACGCCCGTGTATAGATTATGCAAGTGTGGATTCTTTTCTTGAGCATCTTTGCGAGCATCATCGGGCACAGACTTTAACGCAAGATTTAGAACATCGACTGTGTTGACAAGATCTTTGGCAAACTTTTGAATAGCAAATTGAGCTGTGTGTTCAATTTCTCTTCGAGTGCGTTCGCGAAGGTTTTCCATTTCTGCTAGCGCACGGAGATAGCTATCCTATTGTTTTTTTTTAAAAAAAAAAAAGCAAGAAAAAAGATATTGTCACATGCGAGAATATAATATAGTAATCGATTATATTATATGTATCTGTTATGAGTCTAATTGACAATTTGTTCGAATGCCCAATAATTTAGTGCCATGCATCCCCGAACGAACCTTTAATTCAGCTATTTGCTTATCTCTTGTATCAGGTCCTTCTCCTTGATCTGCTCTCGTTCCTTGAGGTGCGCCGGTTTCCGCGGCCAATTGATCATCTATTCCTTCGTTACTTGTTTTTGATTCACCCGTTTCATTAGATTTGTTCGCTTTTGTCGTTTCATTTAACTGGTACTTTCTAGACGTTGAATGGAACAATGATTGTTGCTGGAGAATGGAGGGGCGTAATGATGTGCTGGAGATAAGAGAAGGACGGGTCAGAATGCGAAGAGGGCGAAGTGAATGTAGCGCCTTCTGATAGGACATATTGTGTGTGCTGGACGTGGCGGTTTGAGAGCAGAACGAGACGTTGATCTGAAAATTTTTTGAAGTTTGGTGCGTTTGATCAACTACCCCAAGATCTTCAGAAATTGATTACAGTAACGTGACGGCATGTACGACGACGTTGGTGTTGTTCACATGATTAAATGTTTTTTTTTGTTTTAATCTGCCACAATAATTAATATGGAGTGCACTCACCATTTATCTTCCAATATCGTATAATTAACCGATTGTTGTGGTATGCTACGAGGTACATGTCTTTAGTTTGGATTTTGTAGATAGTTATAGATCTGTTCATATTCAGTAGTGTTCATTTTGACTGCTCTAAGTTGAGGCAAACTGTGCCTATTTATTACTGTCATTATTTTCCACAAATATTTTCTTCCTTGTCTGGTACAATATGCTATATTTAGCATCAATACTCAGATAGGCAATGTAAAGCAGTAACAATTACGCAGCTATTTAGAAAAATAAAGTTTCCGCTTTTTCGATGCAGACTATAAAT